GTACTATTTGTGTTACAGATGGGAAATTATAAGGTGTGGAGATGTTTACTGTGTGTTAGTCTAGAGAAGGTTTGGCACCCGAATCATGGCTCTTAAAATTGTCTTGCCTGTGCTCAGGCCAGTGAAGACCATTAAGAGCTGCATCTATTAATTCTGGAATTAGCTGTGTAACTTTAGTACCACTAGTCAGGCTGATCCTACAGGCTACCATCAGAAGTTCATTGTAGATTTTAATTTCTTCCCAGTTTATGCTGTTTCTCTGCCAGCTTTGAAGTGACATTCTCTTTTCTAGCAGCATTGGTCCTATGCCATTAAGACAAACTCTGGATTCTTTCACTGTTGATTCCAAATCTAACAGAAGCCAACGTGTCTCACGAGTGTTTACTTCTTTGTTTGTGCATTGGCATTATCATTGAACTTCACCAGTGAGAGAGTTTGCCAGGACTGAACACAAAATGTAAATGAAAGTAGATGTATTGTTGGAAACACTGGTAAACAGTCTCTGCGTGGCTGTACATCAATGCAGACTGGGGGCGTATGGGGAAGTTACTCTTGCTTTGCTATGAGAGCTCTGAAACATGCTGCAGTTTCTCTCACTGCCTGAATAACCCATAGCCTGAATCAAAAAATCACATTTTTCATTAAAATGGCCTTGTTTGTTCCTCTTGCCAGTAGTGATTGGCTGAGCAGTGACATCCGCTTTGACACCAAGAGTATGAGAGCTGCTCGTAGGAGGTTGAAATTCTGGTTTCCGACCTGATTTATAAGTGGTTTATACTTTAAGCTTTCCTGTTTAATAGTTAAATAAACTGTTTAATGTTTAAAAAGTAAAATTCTTCTGATAATTAAAGCAGTATGCAGGAAAAAAGCTGAGCACAGCCACATCTTGGCTGAGCCTTTCAGTGTGTTCCCACAGTTCAGATCTCCGTTCTACTGTAAATGAGCTCCTGGTTGCAGAGCACTATGGAAAGCCAGTGTAACCCATCACTATGAGCACTCACCTCACAGTTGTGTTTTTGTATCCACTTGTCTCTTATTCACAGAAGAGACTGACAAGATGGTGGGGAACACATTGCAGGGAGAAGTACTGAACAGTGTTGTGGAGGCAGGTACATGGCCTGGCAGAATTTTCCATCTACTTATTTCTGCTGTTGCTGTGTTACTGTGTAGATCCCAAACTGGAAGGTAATTTACACAGACCACCTGTGCCACCTTGATTTTACATTCTGCCCTGGAATGCACCCTGTTTGTGTCACTCTGACACTCTGGAAATTATAAGGGTACCCAAATAGGTGACAGTCATCAAAACCATCTACTTTTAGCTATCAAGGACATCTGGCTCTTTCTGGTTGCCTATGGGGCACAGCACTACGATCTACGCTTGGTTCTAGGTAAAACAGTGTTTTGTTTTTCTTTTTACTATAAATAATGCAGCACAGGAGTGCAAGTAAAGCAGTCAGAAAGTGAGAATCTTGCTGATACAAGCTCCTTGCCCTGCAGCAGCCTTCTACAGGTTATCAGAAAGTCTTTCCTCTTGCTGCATTCAGAACATGTTAGAAAAATCTTGCAACAACATATCATACCATAATCATAAAGAGAAGATGTCGTCTCACGCATCTGACAAATAGCCACAATAAGAGGGTGAATTGCATCATTTCTGGTTCTGTGATGTGTACAGCATCTTCAAAAGCAAGGTAATAAGTTTTTACAGCTGTGAGAGGCAGAGCTGAGTGTGTAATTCAGCCTCAATGCTATGAGGCTAATGTTATGAGCAACCCATAACAGAATGGCCATAGCTTGAAGTAGCAAAACAATACAGAGTGTTTTTGGGGAGGGGAAAAAACATCCCTAATCAAAAAAACAAGTGCATGTAGATGGAGATCAAAAAGCAAAGCTGTAGGTGGGGATTCTGGATGATTAAAAATTTACAGTGTTAGTGAAGGGCATTGAGGTAGGTAAAATAAAAAGCAATTAGTCACCAAAGAGTCTGTGTGAGAGCAAGATACAGATTTGATCAGCCTCAAAATAGTTCACATATGAAGATGGGAAAGATAAGTAGGCAAGAGGAAATGGAGATAGGCAATTTTAGGAGTTCCTGAGAAAGGGTAGTGTAAAGAATGTTACTGTCTTGAAAATTGCTGTTGGCTGTTTTGTGGCAGTGTCGTCTAAGCTCATTAACAAGTTAGTGATGATTTTACTGGCACAGTTACTTTGCTGAAAATTTTCTTGCATTTAGCATTTTGGTTTGATCATACTTCATTGAAAGGAGTTGTTCAGGAATGCTAACTCTTTAAAAAAAAAAAAAATATATATATACATATTGACCCCTAAATACTTTCTGCCATGCAGGCATGCTCCAAAAATAGCCATCAGTGATTTCATCTGAATTTCTCTGCTTTTTGAGCAGAGACCTCCATGCATCATATATCCTGCTGTTTATAGAGGTGGTTGTACATATGGCATGGAATCTAAGCCAGGGTTTGAACTGCCTGTGTTATGCAGGCACAGTGGGAGCCTTAGGAATTGAACTTCATTTATGGAAGTTGTCCATGGGTCTTGGAGATGCCCTGGCTTTCTGTGGCCAGAAAAGTTAGCTAAGCGCGGAGGCTGGGAAACAGCCAGGTGAGGCACTGGTAGCAACATCTCTTATATTAACATAGTTGGACAAAAAGATACCTTTGCTTGCTTTGCTGAGCAGTAACTTGTGAGCTACCTGAGGTATCCTTATGACTCTTGGACGGTCAGGAAGCACAAGTGGCCCTAGTTATAACTAGCTATTGCATGAAATATACTATGTAGTACTCATGTCAAAATACTGAGCTATTCAGGTGAAAGAGAATCTGATCTCTAGCCTAGAGAAAGGTCCTATGATCAAGAAAGAAAATAAATAGTCTTCTAAGATCACCTTTTCTGAAATAGGCTTTCCTGCATGAGTGACTAAAAATTATGTGTGGTGCTGTTTATTCTGGCTTTCCCAGATGGTCAGAATCCTGATGATTTTTACATCTTTTATTGGCCTCTGGTATGTAGACCCTTCTCTCAAACATAGCTCACAAGGGAGACTCAAGAGAAATGTAGCTCACAGCAAGCAAGCCTGAATCCTCTCTTCAGCTCTTACGTCTTATGCATGCAAAAGCAATGATGAGGTTTTTTTCATTGTCATTGGGGGTATAGAGACAGTCTGAAAACTTATGGACAAGCTCCCTGCAGGCCCAGGCCTGGTGAACCTGAAGTTTCCTGATTGCCATGTACCTCACAGTTGGAGAAGGATTAATTTTTTTATCACCAAAGTTAAGACTGCAGACTGAAAAAAGGTGCCTTCAGTGGGGCCATGTTATGACATACAGGAGCCAACTTTGTTCTGAGCCCTCCAACTGGCTTATACTTAAATATCATTAACATTGATGTGGTGACTTCTGTGAAATTAGAGTGGTAGACACTATCTTGTTACTTGGAACTTCATTGCTATCACTAGGGTCTTTTCAGTAGTCTCAGCAGAACTGCCAGAAATATAGAAAGGCAGGGCTGACTGACAGTTTCTCTCTTCAAGGTGATCTGTGTGGATAGATGTCAAGGAAAATTGGCAGCAGCATCTGAAGGCTAATTATCTGGGATCATCTTTTTCTGTGATGTGCAGGCTCGAATCATAGAATGGTTTGGGCTGGAAGGGACCTTTAAAAGCCTTCTAGTCCAAACCCTCTGCAGTAAGCAGGGACATCTTCAACTAGATCAGGTTGCTCAGAGCCCCATCCAGCCTGACCTGGAATGTTTCCAGGGATGGTGCTTCTACCACCTCTCTGGACAACCTGTGCCAGTGTTTCACCACCCTCATGTAAAAGATTTCTTCCTTCTATCTAGTCTGAATCTATGCTCTTTTAGTTTAAAACCATTAACCCTTGTCCTATCACTACAGACTGCTAAAAAGTCTGTCCCCATCTTTCTTATAAGCCCCCTTTAAGTATTGAAAGGCTTCTGTAAGGTTTCCCCAGAGCCTTCACTTCTCCAGGCTGAACAGCCCCAGCTTTCTTCACAGGAGAGGTGTTCCATCCCTCTGATCATTTTTGTGGCCCTTCTCTGGACCCACTCCAACAGATCCATGCCTTTCTTGTACTGAGAACTCCAGAGCTGTACACAGTACTCCAGGTGGGGTCTCACCAGGGCAGAGTAGAGGGGCAGAATCACCTCCCTTGACCTGCTGGCCATGCTTCTTTTGATGCAGCCCAGGATATGGTTGACCTTCTCTCAAGCAGTTTTCATTAGCAGTTTACTGCAGTAATTAGAAAAGTGCAGTTCTATGCAGTACAACTTACTCCTGTCCAAAGCCCATGGCCTGGTCCTGATGGCGTATTCTTTCCTGAATTCAGTGGTGTCTTCCTTCACACTAGAGTGATTGTGAGCATGCTCAGAACAAGGCAAACTGAAAGGCAGCTTGCAAAGGATTTCCTTTGCATGGGAGGAGTTGAAGGCTAGACCAGAGCTCCCAGAACCCGTTTCTTGAAGCTGGGCATAGGCTGATGTTGTTGTTAGAGGATGATGCTCCCTGTTTGCAGAGGCGTATAAAGTCAATTAAACTGGTCATGCTCTTGAGTTGAAGACTCTGTATTATGGTCATGGTCTAGGCACGGTTGGCCTGTTCTCAAGTTCTGCACAGAACCACCAAGACTTTGTTGTGTGCACCTTTTGCATGTACATGGGACCCTTCTTTCAGGAGATCACAAAGCACTTCATAAGTGTTCATAATACTTCAGAGTACTCATTTTGTAGCTGAAGCCCAGAAATAGTGAGTGATTCCTGAAGATTAAAAAGCCAATCAGAGGCAGAGCAGAGAACTTGACTAACACTCCTGTCAGCTGCTTTGTCATTTTTGCTAATAGGTGTTTGTAAAAAAAAACCAACATTAAAGTAACATTTACAGATGACTGATTTTGAAGTGTCATTTTTGAAGTGACATTTACTGTTCTGCCTACCATTGACCAACTCTTTGATATGTTTGTTTCCAGGAACACCTGTCTGGTTCTTTGTGAAAATTGCTCCAATTCGAAATGAGCAGGATAAAGTGGTTTTATTTCTTTGCACTTTCAATGACATAACGGCTTTCAAGCAGCCCATTGAGGATGATTCATGTAAAGGTTTGTCTTTTTCACAATTCTATACATATGCTGCTTCTGTTTGTACACCCTGGTCTTGAAAGAGCTGAAGTCCTTTACATACTAAAGCCAAAGAATTAGATGTTAAAATAGCTTGTAGCTATGTCATTGGGGACTGCATTTGTGCAAGAAACGGTTGCTGGTTTCTTAAGCAAATTGGTTCTGGCCTACACTGGAAAGGGTCATTGCTAATGAAAGCCCCAGGTGCTTCAGGAAGCACAGTTTACTTGGCAAATAGGTGCTGCTTTCCCTTTTAAATTCATTATTAATCCACACTTCAGCATAGCCTCCAAGGAGTCACAGTGTTTCTGAACAGCCTCTTTGATGTCAGAGGGAGCTGAAGGGTCTTGGGCCCTGTACAAACTGTGCATGACACTATGTGAAAACTGAGGAATTAACTGTCTCTGAGTCTAATGAAGATCTGAATAATTTCATTCTGCCTGGCTTCATGTTACTTACCATTATTATGGGATTCCTTATATTAAAGTTTTGGACTAGTTTCCTTTAACGTATGTGAAAGAGATTCCCATAATCTCCAGCTGAATCAGGTTTAAGCTGTCCTGGTGAGTGAAGCAGTCTTGCTGTGTTTTGCTGTTAACCCTTTGCTGAGTTACACCCTGGAAGCAAACTGGAAAGCAAACTGGAAACCTGGAAGCAAACTCAGCTGTGACAGCAGCATAAACTTGCACTCAGGTTCAGATCCTGTCAGAAATAAACCTTTTGTACCCATATGGAGAATTACAGAGACTTGCATCCTCTGGGGTAAAAACAAAAAGACGTAAGTTCTCCTGTTTGCATTTTTGTAGTATTTAATAATATTTGTAGTATTAAATTAAACAGGAAACTTACTGTGAAGGTGAACTGATTTACATTTATGCTCAAAATGTTAGTCTTTAAAAGTCTAATTTCTCGAAGTGGAAACACCTGTTAACATAAAAAAGGAAGTACAACCTTGACAAATGTACCCTTTTCCAGGCTATGTGGGTTATTTTTTTTTCTCTTTTTAATGCTATTTGTTTGCTTCTTCATTGTTTTAATAGAACTAAAAAACATACCTTGTTGGAAAGATTGGGTCTACAGTATTTTTTTTCCCTGCCTAGTGGTCTTCACTGTATCCTGATGAGGACTGACAGCAAAGATAGATCAGCATGATGCAGTAAAGCTGGCTCTCATTTATTTGCTGGGAGTGAAGGTCGTTGCTTCATTTAGTCAGTTGATAAGTGGTTCTTTCAGTCAGGGGTGGTAGCTGTGTCTTTTCTCTTTGCTTTCACACAAGATCCTTAATGTAACAGTAATATGCACTCTTGTGAAAAGAGTTTGTCCTTCACTTTTAACACAAGGAAACACGATAACTTTTTTGTTTCCAAGAGAAGTCTGTTGAAGGGTGGGAACATTTTGTGGGGGTTTTTTGTTTTTTTTTTTTTTTTAAATCTCCTTTCAATCTTGAAATCATGCTGTTCTTACATGGTAATTCTTAGTAGTTCCTTATCTAAAGCAATATAAACACTAAACCTACATCTAAGTGCACCAGCTTGCAGAGGAGTTAAGATGATAAGCAAAACTTCTTCATCTGGCCCATGGAAACTAGCGAAGTGGCTAACAAAAGTTGCAGACAGAAGAACTGGATGTATTATTTAGAGGCCACTGATCCACAGTTCTGTACTCCTTCCCTGAGTGCTATGACTTTATGGAAGAGTTTATGCGCTAAATGAGTCTTCCAAATATTGCTTCTGAATCTCCTAAAATTAATGAAGTTGCACCGGTTTCATTCTGGTAAAGAGTTCTCTGTCACTGTATACACAAATCAAACATGATATAAATGAAACTGCACATTCTGTTCTAATCCTTAATTTATCCCTTATGTCTTCCTTTCATATGCAAGTTACTTGCTATAGGCTAGCTTTGGAATTTTTTTGCATGCATCTCAGGAGGTGATAGTCACTTGATGGCTAGATGAGCAATTTCTTGGAAAAGAAGACCTGATTTGTCAAACAATTAAAGAATTCCACATGTGTGGCCATGTCTTTAATATTAGATCTCATTGTGCAATTGTGCACTGTGATGGGGGGTGGAAAGGCAGGTATGGAGTGTCAGACAATTGTCGATAGTGGACTAGGATTCATGGAGGGGAAATAATTTCTGGAAGATCTGAGAAGGGCAAAATTGTATTAGCTTCTTCTTAGTATAATTGCTTTTACAGACCTGAGATTTGAAGAGGGTATATTCTTTGCACTGTGTGCAACATTACGTTGGAATTCTATAGCATGCTTTTGAAGGATAACAATTTTCGTAGGAATGTTTCTCATATTCTAAACTCAAATGAACTCCCAATCTGAAAACCTAAAACTGTGAACTTAGAGATTTATTGTTTAATTGGAACAACTGAAAACTGATTGCTAAATCAATTATTTTTCTTTCTTTCACCTTCAATCAGCTTTTATAAACTACTTTTCTTTTACTGTGTTTATATGTGAAATCAGTTTCCCATGCATATGACCACTTAATATGTAATAGGCTGCCTGCAAATGCAGGTATTTTATTAACATATGTGCTATTTGCATAGTTGCAGAGTGGCATAGCATGAAGTATTTAAGTTTTTAGAAAACAATGCCCATATGTCTATGTAGAGAAAAATGTTATGTAGTACAAGAACATGATCAATTTAAAGAGCAACTAATCTGTCAGGCTAAACCTGCTTAGCTGTGGTATATCTTAGTTTTCTATCACCTGCTGGCAATTTCAAGCATGATTGTTCAGCTGCAAATGATGTAGTGACTCTTTGAGTGAAAGTGTTGAGCTCTAATGACAGATTAGTCTTGTACACAAAAATGAACAGGCATCTTTTATCAAAAGGTGACTCAGAAAGATAGAACGTCCCAATACCATTTGTCATTCTTAATAATTTTTTTAATTAATAATATCAGACATTGGAATAAGTGAATAAAAAAAATTCTAAAGTAATGTAAAAAGTAGACTTCTAATTGTAGTCTTTGTTAATTGAGTCAGATAATTTAGAAGATCCTTATTTTATTATTTCCATAGAAGTTAAGTAAGTTTGCTTTTAAATGTAGTAGCTTTAAAAATAGTGCATTCTAAATAATACAACTTAAAAATAGCATGTCAGTGACGCTGATGGTTTTAAAACAGCCTCTTTCCCCTCTTTCCCGTATGGTTACCCCTTTAAAAAATCAGGTAAAAATAGGTTTACTTGAATAGAAGTAGGCAAAATCAAACTATAGCATAGCTAAATTTGGCTTGTGAAGTGATAGGTCACCTTCTTAGCTGAATTTTAGAATATATGCTATATTTAGAATTCATGCATTTTGTCTCTATATGTCTTCTTTGGTTTGAGACCTAACACAGCAAGTATGCAATGTTTGAGAATAGTGTATGAAGTGGCATGCATCACTTTACAGAAACAATAATTTGTGCAGACAGATACAATCGGTGCATGCAGTCTGAGTAACTAGCAAGAAGTTTGCCTGAACAGGTTTTGCATTTATCAATGCAATGTGAACATATTCAGATGCAGCTATGATGCTTTATAAAAGTTTGGAAATTATGCTTTGGATCCTAATTTGTGCTTTTGATACTTTGTTTTTATACCAAAAGATGATCAAATTCAGGATCACAGTCATATAGGAAAATGGTTGTTAGCCTCATAGCTGTTGTAACCTCCCTTGCTTTATAGTAATCATCAGTTATAATCTGTGGAGAAGAAGCTTTATTTCATTTTGCAGCTAAGCTGTCCTTTGCATCATAAGCAGGGCTGCACAAAAAAATAGTATTTTGATTGCTTCCTTCATCTTAATTCAGGGAAAACTCCAAGTGTTTCTTTTTGTCTTTTTTGTTTCTGTGGTGGTTTGGTTTTTTTTTTTGGTTGTTGCTGTCTGATTTTTTGTTCTCTTTTTAAAGATGTATTTATATAAGCAGAGACAGTGTTTGAACTATTTTGATTAAGTTATACCCTACTTTCATCTAGATGGAATGTTTTCTTAAAAAAGGAAACAAATGAAAGGGAAGTGGTGAGCATATTAAAAAACTTTGGTATGCTCCCAGTCCAGATGGAAAAATAAGACCGTTTTAGTAATGAAATTTCAAAGGGAAGAAGCACTAAGACTGCAGAGAGGCATGATGAACGTAAGCAGGGATCTTTGATGTGCAAGAAAACAAAGGTGGTTTGAGTGAAGGCAAGAACTGCTAGAATCCTGATTTACTCTCATTTACACAGTTCTGTGAGAATGATAGACCCATGACCAAACGAGCTTGTTCTCTGGCAGGCAAAGGCTCCTTGTTCTAACTCTAGGGATTGTGTAAGTCACGGATCAGTAACTTGATAACAAGGGTTCTGTAACTGCCACAGTTCCTAGTGTTTGAATTTACGAGTCGTCATGATCAAATTGAGGAGAGTGGTAGGAAGCAAATATCTACCTACAAATAAATAATAAATGTTGTGGATTGAGTATCAACAGATTGTGCTCACCTCAAAATACAGAAAATTGGTTTCTTCAACCTAAGAGTATTGTTAAATGAATCTTCATCCCTTAAGAAGAGAAGTCTTGATGAGTTAAACATCACATTACAAAGATGTATTTCAGTGACATGTTTCCCCATGAAACAAAGGTCAGGGGACAACTTTTGTCCCTGTTGTAGACATCTTGTCCTGGGTGTTTTCAGAAGCAGTTTCTATTCAGCTTTTTGCAATGAAATGGTGGAAAACTGAAAGAGGATCGTGGAATGCAGGACAGCTGAAATCAGTGTTGTTAATCTTGCAGGCTCTTCATCCTTTTGAAGCTGGAGATGTTTTAGTGCCATCTCATTGCTTTGTCCCTGCATGATATTTTCTGAAGAACTGAAAAAGGTGATCAAACAATGCTTAAAAATGGGTTAGAATCAAAGACAGAGGCACAAGCAAGCACAGCTATGGGGCTGGCATCCAACTTTATGTTTGATTCTTGAATTCCAAGCTGTCTGCTATGTGAGCTCTTGTCTGTTTGAGGAATATATACGCTGATATGAGAATCACCTAGGGCCATTAGATTTCAATTTAATTTATATTCTCCATGTTTCTAGAGGAAAAGAATGGATGTAGGGGTATACCAACTGCTTGTGTTGAAAGAATTCCTCACTGATATAATCTGGTCCCCTCGTCCTAGCAGGACTAATGTCAATATATTCTTGCACCATTCTGAAACCTAGTTTCTTGTCTTGGAAAGCTCCATCTTCTTGTAATCAGCTCCATGACCCTTAGAATTTATTGTTTATGTTATCTTCTATGGCTTAAGTCCATTATTTGAACTATCTTCACTGGATAAATATCTGACTTGCTGTAGGCTGTGTCTGTCTTTAGGTTTCTGGAGGAAAAATTGCAATAAATTCAACAGGTACTGCTGTCTTTTCAAGCAGTATTGGAGAAGTTATAATTCAGTAGGATTAGTACTGGCGTTCTCTCTCATTTTCATTTTCTTTTTCCTGTGCCACAATCTGCAGGTCTGCTGTAATTATTCTTCAAAGTTCCCACGTTTTTATCTTCCTTTCACAAAAAAAAAAAAAAAAAAAAAAAAAAAGGGGGGGGGAGGCAAAAAAAGGAGGAGTGGACCTAAAGATGAGATTCATACACTTAGGGCATTTGCCTGGTTTTCCATGTATCATCACACAGTGGCATGTGCAACTCCAAGCTGGGCTCCCATGTGCTGTACCCAATGTATGGAGTGAGTTAGGGTATGTACTGTACTCCCAACCTCCCATTTTCAGATCAGTGCTGGTTCAAAAAGCCAAGTGAAAGCCCTGCCTCTTGACACAGTCTCTGGCCTGTAACAAACAGTTATATTGTTTTCAGATCAGAGTTTGGAGTATATGGTGAGAGATCTAACGTTCATAGGAACTGTTCTTTTGCATGCCATTTAGGCACCCACAAATGAGATTTGTGATATGTAGGGCAGGGGAGGTACCTATAAGGGATGCTGAGGACAGAAGAATGGATTAAGCTGTACCTTTCTAAAGGAGATGACTCTTGGGAAGAGGGGGAGGTACACAAAGATGCTGAGCATTCATAGCCACAAACCATGCCACAGAGGTGTCTGGCAGTGCTTTTGTGCATGAAAGCTCAGGCGAGGTGCTTCCTTTTCCTTCTCTCTCTGTTTATGTCTGAATAGCACAATTCTTAGAAAACTCAGTGGCAGGAAGAAAATACACACTGAAAGTTTGTCCTTGGGTTTTGAACCAAATTTTGAATCTTGCAGGAAAATACCCCACCCATCAGTCTGGTTTGAGTTAGTAGAAGGGGCTGTCTGTGTTAACTGGCGTTAAAAGCATTAAATGCCTGGTAAAGGGGGGCAGATTTCGAGTTCCTTTGTGAAGCTCGAACTCTGTCCTCTTTTTGTTTGTCGCCAGGGCTGCCGTTTGCCACCGAGCCCTGTTGGGCTGCAGCCGGCGCGGCGCGGCCGTGGGTTCAGCACCATGGCCAGCACCGGGAGCGGGCCGCCCACCCGCCGGGGCGGGAAAGCGGGGCTGAGCTTCGTATCCCCTCGGAGCAAACGCCCCCCAGGGCCTCCTCAGCCTGCGTTTACAGCGCTGGACACACGCCCATGCTGACAGCCTTCGCCCGTGGGCCTGTAGAACAGGAAGAAAACGTAGTAGAGCTGCATAAAAGTTCTGTGAAAGCAAAGTTTTAGGTTGGTGTAAATTGCTGTGGCTGCTGTGTTGGCTTTACATAGCCCAGTCTGAATTACAACAGCTAAAGATTGGCCATTATGAATGGTTTCTCCTATGTGATCCATTCTTTTAATGTCTACTTTTTTTTGGGGGGGGCGGGAGGGGAGCCCTCACTACAAGAAGGACATTGAGGTGCTGGAGTGTGTCCAGAGAAGGGCAACGAAGCTGGTGAAGGGTCTGGAGCACATGTCTTATGAGGATCAGCTTAGAGAACTGGGGTTGTTTAGCCTGGAGAATAGGAGGCTGAGGGGAGACCTTATTGCTCTCTACAACTATATGAAAGGAGGTTGTAGAGAGGTGGGGGTCGCTCTCTTCTCCCAAAGTGATAGGATGAGAGGAAATGGCCTCAAGTTGCACCAAGGGAAGTTTAGATTAGAAATTAGGAAGAATTTATTTACTGAAAAGGTTATCAGGCATTGGAACAGGCTGCCCAGGGCAGTGGTGGAGTCCTCATCCCTGGAGGTATTTAAGAGTCCTTGTAGACACAGTGCTTAGGGATATGGTTTAGTCGGGAACTTGTCAGTGTTAGGTTAATGATTGGACTTGATTATCTTAAAGGTCTTTTCCAGTCTAAGCTATTCTGTGATTCTGTAGTAAGGCCTTCAAGCCTTAGCCTATTAATTGTAGTTGTATTTCTTCATGTACCGTAGAGAAAGAATACTAATTCATAAATGTATCTTTTAAAACAACCCAAAATCACCAAATTCCACCACCTTTCATGGAAATGTATTATGAGAAATCAAGTGCTTTGGGTCAGGTTTATAACAGATACAAACTGACCTCACTTGAAGTTCTGTCATTTTGATTTATTTCTCTGAGAAATAGTCCTTTAGTTTAGTAGCTAATCTTACATGGATTTATCAGGAAAGATCTGGCTTCCTGGATGGAAAAAATTCAATCTACTTGTTGCAGAATGCTGCCCAAAAGTGTTGGCTCCTCAACTGGGCTATTAAATTACTGGTGACAGATTTGCTTTAAAATGTGCTTTAAAGCATAAGAAAATATTCAGTTTTATTCTTGATTTTGGAGAGGTCTCATGAATCTGGTCCTTTCCTTTAATAAATGCACCATTTTGCATATTTGTAAAGGAGAAAATGCTAAACTCTCTTTTCGGGTCTACCCTGGAAGATCTTGTTCAATACTGGATACATGCAATTTGTTGATTTTTTGTGCTCATCTCTCAAATTACCAAATAGGTTCCTGCAAACTCCATCGAAGTGAGATGTCAGGCAAGGATATATTCAAAGTACTGCGTAGTATTTTAACCACCTGTATTCCTGTACTTGTCATGAATCACTTGCAAGCTAAACTTCAGACTGGTCTTTAAAAACAGTCACTGATAATAGTATAATTTCTTTTGATGATAAAACCATAATGTGGAGACAGCTTTTTCCAGAACTGGGTTCTCATCAAGAACTGGATCTGCAAAGTGCTGAGCATCCTCAATTGGAGTAGGAGGTGAGACTGCTCAACAGTTCCCAGGTGGTGCTAGCATTTTTCAAAATTTGGACTAAATGTGCTGATACTTTCCTTTCAGAGTCGCAAAATTATCCATATATATATATATATGCTGCTTGACTTTCTGTTGTAGCAAAGTACTGCTTATAAAGGTTATAGCTGTAACTAGCTCTCGTGACTGCCATTCAAGGTCTTCTGTTTTGAGAGGTATTTGAAATGAATGTAAAAAATATTCTGAATTAAGATTCAGCATATGCTGCCAGAAGCTGCTAAATGTTTTATTAGAGTTTGAGAAAATCTATTTGTATATTTCCCCCTTTTGTTTAGAGAGGATAAAATTAATGTTTTTGTTTTGCTTTTTCTGCTCTGCTTTTTATTATCTTACATGTATTTTTCTGCTTATGCCAGATCTACACTTGATACATCTGAGGACAGATTAACTTCTGTTATAGGCAACTGTAATTTTTGTTGTGTGTGATTCCAGTCTTACATCTTGATTAGTCTGGAATGTCTTCTGCAGTGCTGTCGGATCCAAATCTGGCCATTGGATTTAATGGAAGATGACTGTAAAGTGGACGTTTATCCTTACAAAAGATGCTGTTCATGTGACAGCACTCTTGTAGAGCTGTTGAATACAAAGTCACTGCAGTCATGGGTTTTATTACTTTACCACCCTGATACCTATTTTATGATTTGCTTTTATCTGATACTTGGTTAAATTATACTCCCTTGTGGTCAGTATTAAAGCAAACTGCTGTGGGGTTTTGGGGTTTTTTTTTTTTTAGTTAGGAGAAACTTTATGTGGTCCACTTGCTGCTTTTTTTGGTAATGTGTTATCTTGCATATTTTCTCAAGGTTGGGGAAAGTTTGCTCGCTTGACCCGTGCCCTCACAAGCAGCCGAGGTGTGCTGCAGCAGCTTGCTCCGAGTGTGCAGAAAGGAGAGAACGTTCACAAGCATTCGCGACTTGCTGAGGTAATGTTTGCTTTCCCTGGGAGACCATAAAGAAATGTTTTTAGCCTTGGTGGATATGTTGTCTCTGCATGAGCCAAGGACTGTCTGTCACCCTGGCCCTCAGAATCTGAAGCCTGGTGGCAGGCATGGGAGAATATGGCACATGTACTGTGAAATCTGTCCCAGGACAGTGGAATGGAAATAGGTGTCCAAAATACTTCATGTAACATAATTGCAGTGTTGTGTTTCACATCTCAGCAAAGTCTTACAATGGCATGATTATTAATGTAATACTTTCTCACTTAGTTTCTGTTCTTCTGAGGATCTCAGTGTTAGTAGGATCTTGGACTATTCACTTGTGTAAAAATTGAGGGGAGAAAGACTCAGTCTAGTACAGAAGGAAATTCTGGAGAGCCTTTGACATGTTGCATGGTTGTTCTCTGCATTCATTTATGTCTAGTTCTTTTTCAGGGGGATCCCAGTCATGCTTTACAAAGTGGTTAAAACATATGTTTGGGTTACTGGTTTTACTGATGGAACAACTGTAAGATGCCACAAGCAACACTGCAGACAGATCAGGAAAATGAAACCTTGTGATTTAAATAGACTCAAAGTTTTAAGAAAAGCTCCAAACAGAGAAGGCTCTTGTGAAGTATTTATGGTTTTAGGGCTTTTGCCACGAGGGGGAGAGACTGTCCCAGGTTTCCTGTAGCTGTCTCCTGGGCCAGTAGCAGGGTCTTCTTGGTGTAAAAGCAGCTTAAGGAAAATCTTTATATGGCATTAATAACAGCATGGCCAATATAACATTATACACAGCATTCCTGTATCACCTATTGCTGTGAATGCCATGGTAGCAGCTGTGACTCTTGTCAATAAGTCTTAATCTTCCTGTGTAGCTGGAGGTGTAAGCCATTGATGGGCTCCATGTGGTCTCCATATAGTCAGTACTTTGTTAATTTTGCCCTGTATACATTTAGTTTCTATGCAAAATAACTCCTGCACAGGTCTGTACTATTATCACATGTGATGATGAAATTCCCACGGATAGGAGTTTACCTATTCAGTATTTAATACAGATGCACTCAATAGTGGAAAACTGATTTATATTGGAAGTACAGAAATAACAGAGACCATACTAGCACAGGGGAGGGGCAGACATTCACATGGACACTGTACTGTACGAATACCATGTGATTATCACATATCCACCCTGAGGTTGCGTTAGTGTCCTGGAATTTGGAATATTCCAAATTTGGAATTCTGTGATTCTGTGATATTCCAAATCCCAGGGCACTATCTCTCCTAAACCCACTCAAGGCTAAGCATCAAAAAACCCTCCTCTTTAGATGTTTACGTTTGAATTTTAGTTCATGCTAAAATGTAGGCAGTAGGATGTAAGGCGAAGGGTCTGAGGTTATTCTCTTTGGCTCAGTGAACCTCAGTCTGGACCCAAGTGATTACACATTACTGAAACTTCTTGCAAGCCAATGCGCTCAACAAGTCTTTGCCAAGTATTCTAACTGGCACAGCCATTTGATTCATTACAGATAATAAAGGGCAAGTGTGTAGTTTACATGTCTGAAATGAGTTTCTTTAATTGCCGACTGAATATTGCAGTCATTATTTTAAAAAGAACATTAGCCCCAGCTGTGATGTTAGGTATCTTCTTGTATATCTGCTGTAATTCCACTTAAGTCAATAGAACTACACTAGAGAAAAGCGAAGTGCAGATAATCGTACAGACAAGCCCGCTTTTCTTCCTTACAAGACATATGAGGTGCAAGGCTTCTTAATCTGGAAAGATTTCTTGATAATACTGAGCATGGGATCTCTTAACTATTCCCTGTTGTATTTTCAAATCTTTTTTTTTTTTTTCTTCATCTCTGCAGTAGCCTATTTGAAATCTTAAGTTCAGATTAAAATTCATCCTTTTTTTTTTCCTATTCACTATGAAATTTCACGTTGGAATATTATTTGTGTTGCTCTTAGTTCTTTTTCACTTACAGTTTTGAACATCTGAGGATCCAGTTGTGTCCTAGAACCTGAGTGGGGCAGAGTTGTACAAATACAAAATGAGAGCCTGCCACAAAAGCTTACAATTTCTTTTATCATTTATGAAATACTAGTTTAAGAAAGGTGTTAGTGACAAACTACTTTGTTTTATCCATAGGCTGTGGATAGTACAAGCAGTGTCTGTTAAACCCCAGTCTCTGACTTTCGCCAGTGTGTATAGATTTGTTTAGCCTGACTTCTTTAATTGCAGTCATATGAAAACTGCTTAAATTAATTATGTAATTAGTGCAAGGGTGTTAGGTAACTCTGAGAATACATTTTGCAGTAAGAGTATAAAGTAATTTATAAATTTATCTGGCTTTATCACCAAAGAGCCGATTGTAAGAACCATTCTTCCTGGTGACTGCATAATACATGTCCTCTGCACCTACAGTGTTAGCTGATGTATTCTGTATATTTACCAGGCAGTTCTAGGTAAACAAGATTGTGTCATAATTTTAAAAATGTGATAGTTATGAGAAATAAAAGCAGAAAAATTATAAGGGTGCTTAGCAGCACTGCTTAATAATGGAACTTTTTTTTTCTTTTTTTTTTTTCTCCAGTAAACCCTATTTACCAGGGACTTATAACTGCCATTTAAATCTACTTCAAGTTGAAGCTTAGCACCTAGCCCTTGGCTGGGAAGCAATTTGTGTGGGTGCCTGTGAAAAGAAAAGCAAGGGAGAGTGAGAGAAAGCAAACATGTGCAGTTGAAAACACAAAAGGGACAGATTAAGCTGAAAATGAATGTTTGTTTTTTTTTTTTTCCCCTAGTCCTGCAGTCTTAAAAATAAATAAATCATTGTAACCACTTGATGTACTTTTATGACTCCTGATTGGTGATATATTCTGCATTTTTTAACAAATCAAGGGTAATTTTTTTTTTTAAATTTTGCTGTGTTAAAAAAATGGACACAGCATTTATGGAACCCATGATGAAATTTGTCGTTTCTACTCTTGAAATAGTGTTCTCCCATGTTAAAGAGCTATTAAAATATCATGCATCATTACCACAAATAATAAACACAGATAATACAACTGTAATGGCTGATGAATCATAAGTAATTGGAATAATAGTTACATTAATAACTTTCTGAAACAAGTATTTCTTTTACTGTGGTATAGCTGTGTAATAGAGAGCAATCCTTCAAAACCAGAGTTGTTTCAGTTCTCTAGAAAATGATAGTAATGAAATATTTATTCAGTGCACATGAGTGGAGCTAAGCATAACTATTTATATAGCTGTGTACATTTTCTTCATGATTATTTTTATATTAATATCTTATGGTTTTTCTTCCTCTCCAGGAAAAGTACCTTTAAAAGCAATTTGAATCTAGTTAGTTCACGTGTGTGGGTAACCACACCTGACTGCTTCAGCAAATGCTGTGTTTCAGGTTGGCACTGCTCTCCCTAGAGGCTGGAGTGCAGCAAGAGCACTTTGGAATAGGGCAGAAGGTACTTCTGTTTGCATCTACCTGGCTTTGCTATATGGTGCAGAGAGAGTGAGATTTATAGCTTTTAATCTCCAGATGATACAGGGGTGGTGTGTGTGTCTGGAAGGATGGTGAAGAAATAGACTGTGTGTGGCCCTTGGTGTGAAAAGTGGAGAAAAGAGCTCTCCTAACTTCCAGTGCAGCAACCTGACAAAACCTAGAGCTTTAGCACTAAGCTCTGTGGACCTCCTTCAATTATTTCTGTACAGCCCAGAGCTCTCTTGTTGTACTTAATGCTAAAAGCACATGCTAGTTCTCTGAGATAATTAAGCTTTGTTATAAGTTTTTGTTCTCTTCCTTTAATGAAAAGAAGTGTTTTATGCCCTTAAAAGGTCCTAGTTGACCTTTGCCAATCTGTAAAGCAAGTTGCCTTTCCTGGGAGAGGTCGTGTGAGGTGGTGCCCTTCTTCCATCTCAAGCTGTGAAATGACAGCTCATCTCTTTAGCAATGCCAGCAAGATGTTGGAGTCATTTTACAAGGTGTGCGTTAGTGATACAGTGAGAGGGAGCCAGAGTTAGAACTTATCACCCCCACCCTACCCAAACAAGAGACTGAAGACACCTCAGGCTTGATGATATGGAGAATTCATAGAATCATTTGGGTTGGGAGGGACCTTACAGATCATCTAGTTCCACCCCCCCTGCCATGAGCAGGGACACCTTCCACTAGACCAGGTTGCTCAAAACCTCATCCAACCTGGCCTTGAAAACTTCCAGGGAGGGGACATCTACAGCTTCTATGGGCAACCTGTTGTGATGTCTCACTACCTTCACAGGAAATAATTTCTTCCTCATATCTAGTCTAAATCTACCCTCTTTCAGTTTAAAACCATTACCCCTTGTCCTGTCACTATCTGTCCTTGTAAGAAGTCCCTCCCCAGCTTTCTTGTAGCCCCTTCAGGTACTGGAAGGCCGCTATAAGGTCTCCCTGGAGCCTTCTCTTCTCCAGACTGAACAGCCCCAACTCTCTCAGCCTGTCCTCATGGGAGAGGTGCTTCAGCCCTCTGATCATCCTCATGGCCTCCTCTGGACTTGCTCCAGTAGGTCCATGTCCTTCTTATGTTGAGGACCCTGGAACTGGATGCAGTACTGCAGGTGGGGCCTTACGAGAGTGGAGTAGAGGCGGAGAATTGCTTCCCTCAGTCTCCTGACCACACTTCTCTTGATGCAGCCCAGGATACGGTGGCAAATGGCTGGCATAATACTTAATACTGTAGTGGACATATCTGAGTCCTAGTTTGGTCTGCAAGGGTTCTACTTAGGGGAAAATGTTCATTTTCTCTCTTTGCTGTCATTCTAGAAACTCAGTGAAACAAAAATACTAAGTTCCCTTATTTTTTTCAAACTGTTGATGCCTCTATGCTAACATGCAGGTCTTTGAACAGGTCGTGCTACTTCTGTTCTGGAGAACATATTGGGCTCAAAGTCAGCAGGCTTGCAACTCCCATTGTCATTTACACATGTGCAAGGGACTGTGATCTGACAGTGTCTCACCCCTGTTGTCTACAAGAGTAAATGATTATGTGAGGTTCAAAGCAGCAGGGAAGTTGATCTGAGGCTGTTTTATCCAAGTAGGACCCTTGTAGCTGATTGTTTTCTTTTGTCCCCTTTGGCTTAATCTGTTGGAAAAAAGCCCACCAGTTCACAAAAAAAGAAAAAAAAAAAAGCACTCAGAATAGCCTGCAGATAAAAATCCTTGTCTAAATAATTGACGTTAAAAAAGCTGAGATAAGGAGCATGAAAGGAAGACATCCTCCTATTATAGCTATGTTGTCTGATCTTTTCCCTGAGAAGGTGGCCCATTTAATTTCCTTCTCTGCTCCTTATTGGACTGAACTGTGTGGAAATAAATGTGAAAAAAGAACCATACTCCTAAATACTTCTCCCAGGTTCTGTGAGGCTGGCATTGGCAAACACATCTCCCTTAAACAAACCTTCACCTTCCTTTCAGTTTTCATCCATAACTCATCCAGGGTAAATTTCATTTTGAAATTTAACTTGTCTTTATTTGGAAACAGATCCTTCACGTTGGTTTCACCCTTATGTATATCCATAGATGTAACCAAATGCATTCTTGATTATAGGTATTTAAAAGAAACTTTCGTTCCCAATAATTAAATACATGATCATACTCTTTCTGCATTAGTGTGCAGAACTGGAGAGACAGTAGACTTAAAATGGGCAGCATTGATCGAGATTACAGTTATGTAAAACACTTGGAGCATGTGCTCAGCTTGAGGTCCAGGGTTTAAAACACATGCTGACACATCATCTTTCACTGTAGTGCTTTTTTGAATTCAGACTTAACTGCATTTATAACTTGACTGTACACCATCAGATAGTGAAGACACTCAGTGGAAAGTTAAAGTTAAAAAAAAGTTTATTGAGGCTAATGATAGTTATCCATGGGCTTTGATCCTGCATGGTCCAGAGAAGAGGAACAAAAGCCTGTACATTCATGATAGATTGTAGTATAAGACTATTTCAGACACAGTATAGTGAATAGGTAAATAGACAATGTTTAAAAACAATGTGGTCCAGTGGTCCTGCTGCTGGACTGGAACTCAGAAGCTGTGGTATTGTTCCTGGTTTTGCCATTGATTTCTATTTGCAACTGCCTTCCTCCCCATCATTTATCTGTCTCGTGTATTTAGAACTGTCTCTTCTCTATATGTGTCTTGGAGACCTAGCACATTAGGCGTAGTGTTGAAAAATAGTTAATGGCATTAAAAGAAACAACAACTGTTCTTAGGTTGATGCTGATTTACCAGAGTACTTATCCTGACTTGATTACCATTTGGTGGTGATAAAGGGGTTAATGGACACATGTTTTTATCAGCTCTTGTACTAAGCTTGAGAATCTACAATGTGAAAAATAACGTTAAAAAATTAAGCATGTTTTCTTTTTCTCTTCAAATCTCTGTCACTACAGGTATTGCAGCTGGGCTCTGAAATCCTCCCGCAGTACAAACAAGAGGCACCAAAGACTCCGCCGCATATAATTTTGCATTATTGTGTTTTCAAGACTACCTGGGACTGGATCATCTTGATTTTAACCTTCTACACTGCTATTTTGGTCCCTTACAATGTCTCCTTCAAAACAAAACAGAACAACGTGGCATGGCTAGTAGTTGACAGCATTGTAGATGTCATTTTTTTGGTAGACATTGTGCTTAATTTCCATACCACCTTTGTGGGGCCAGCAGGAGAGGTGATCTCTGACCCAAAGCTGATTCGCATGAATTACTTGAAGACCTGGTTTGTGATCGATCTGCTCTCATGCTTGCCATATGATGTCATCAATGCGTTTGAGAACGTTGATGAGGTCAGTATACTAGTTCCACTTCCACCCCTTAATTGTTACTTAATAGTTGGGGGGAGGTGGGAGAGAGAAGAAAGAAATGTATACTTTTAAATGTTTTGAATTAGTGTACATATGTCTCTAGTAGTTGCCCTCAGCGCACATAGACGTTTGCTTACAAGTCCTAGCCAGAAGGGCCCATATTTAACCGCACTGGGAGAAGCTGAGGTTTTTCATGGCAGAAATTTGTTTATTTTCCTTCATTCTGTATCCTCAGAGTTCAGGAGGACAGGCAGAAGCAGACAGCAGAACCTCTGTACAGCACTGAGGAAAACTGTTTCATCTGAGTTACCATGAATAGCTTGAACTGGTGTTCTTTTGCTTTCACTCTTGACTGAACAGGGTATGTCCACTAATGGCAGTTCTTCACATTAACAGTTGGAAAGTATCATACACTTTTCTCAGCTGCTTCTAATACAATATAGCAGGTGGCAAAGAGGCAGACAGTGACTCACTAAATCTTTTTAGACCAGCAGAAAGTACTGTGTGGGTATCTGGTGATCCATGCAGCATTGTCTGGCAACAGTTGGTTTTGAGGAAGCTGAAGCAATTGAAGGTGCTGTTTTGATGCTTGTTTGGTAACTCCCTCATTAAAAGAAAGGATAGAGAGAAATCTGTAAATCTAGACTCTTCCTTAATTCTTGCTCATTTCTTTGGGAACAGGTCAAGCCAGCAAAAAAACTAACAGACATTTAAAACCACAATACTGACCTATTTTAACTGCTTATTCTCCTACTGGATCAGGCTGCCAAGAAAATATTCCTAAACTAAATATATTAAGGTTCGATACCTAAATAGTTCAGAGAGTTAATGAATTGTTAATAAAATCTTAAATAGGATTCCAGCAGTCCACTTTTTAATTGCATGTTATAAAATATGTACCATCAACTAATTATGTGTCTGTATTTACCTGTGATACATATTAAACCCATAAAATACATACACATCTCATCAGTGCTTAGTATTTAATTTTTAGCCTGTAATGTTTAATTTTTATGAGTTCCTTTAACTATGCCCATGTTATAAGGACAACCCAACTATTAAAATAAAATTATGCTAAGTGAAATATCAGGGTAAAAACACATTACATTTGTAAAAATACACTACACAGGTTTTTATCAAATTTAAAGTATTTTTCTCAATGACTTGAGGACAAGTAGGCAAAGTATTGGATGTAGTGAAAAAAACCATAATGTTATTTGATATTTAATTCCCTAGAGAGGTTTTCATTTTATATAAAGCTACAGACTAAAATAACACAAATGAGATCAAGCAAAAAAGCCTTGAGACTTGTCCTTAAATATTTGTTTGTCATAAAAAGGAACCAGGCTGCAGATTATTGTACAGGGCTTTCACATATTGCTTTGCTGTGGCACTGATAAAGCAATGGAAGGAGTAGCCATATGTCAGTTTCTGACATTTAGACTGAAAGAGGTAAAAAGAAAAAAAAAAATTAAAAAGAAAAAAGGCAAGAGAGAAATAAAAGGAAGGAAGCTTTTCTCACACACTGCAGATAGTAGCAACCTGCTAATGATTTTGCTGGAGGAATGTTTCATAACTGTAGACTGGTGATGTGACCTACAGAACATCCCTGAGGAAAATGTCTATACCAGTGACTGTGATAGCCCTTGAGCTGAGCACAGGCGCTCTCAGACTCGTGGTAGCAATTCTGCTGAGAAATTCTTATTGTGTGAGTTTGAATTTCTCCAGGTTCTCTGTTTCATTGTTGCCTTGTAACAATAAGGAGCTGATTGGTACTTCAGTTTTCCTATGGCTCTTCAACAGTCTCCTTAATCAGTATAGCAGTGCTAAGTTTTAGTTATTCTAGCTATCGTGCCCAAGGAAAAAAACATTTTTCTTGATGCTATCCTTTCAAGACTGTTCATCTTTATTTCCCCTAGTGGGTTCTGACATTTAGCTGCTATAAATCATTGTAGGGTCATTAGACCAGAGTTTCCACTGGTGTAAATTGCTGTACTTCTATTAAGGGCTCATAGACTGGTTTTACAGGACCTGAGGGGCTTTGCTAGCAGAGTAACATCGTGCACATCAGATGGGGATTTAGGACAGTATATGCTGATCACTCTTTCATGAACTGCCTGTAGAGTGAAAGATAACCTTTTTTATTTTTTTTTTCCTTTATTAAAAAGAGTCACATTCAAGGAGTCTTGAAAGCAGAAAGGCTTTGACTTATATCTTCTTCTTTGTTGTGTAGAGCATTCCCTTGTGGGTCAAATCCCTTTCTTTCAAACTTGCTGGTTTAAATTTTACCTGTCTCTTGCCCTGGGTTACACACTGTATTACTTTACAGTTGGGTTAAGTCAGCTGCGAGGCTGCACTGCTCAAGTTATAAGTAGCCAAACTGGATTGTTATCTGTGTGTCACTGTGATTTTGCTAAAGGGAATTCCCTTTGAGCCATGGGACTGGAGTTAGTAGGTGGCCACAGCTGCTGTGGGAATTGGATTTTTTTAGTCCTAATGAGAATACTCTTAAAAATTAAGAGAATACTCTTAAAAATCTGCCAGAGATTAAATCATAGCCATTGTCAACAGTGGTGATAAAATGAGATGAAGAATATGAATTGCTATTTTCCTAATTTGATGTTTTCCATATATGATTTTAAACAGGAGAAAATAGGGTCCTGGCTTTGTTGCGATCCCTGTAGTGAAGGGGGACTGAGGCAGGTGGAAGTTCACAGTTTTTTCTGCCTGCTGTCATTCCCTGTTAAAAGAAATGTTACTGAAGACACTGCAGATGTCATGGAGGAACTAACTTGACAAGTTAATTTGCTTTTAAGAATGCTGTAATTATGTGATGGAGATGATGAATTGATTTGCAAGGGGGACAGGACCTGGAGCTGAAGAAATAAAGAGCTGTGCATATAGAGTGTTTAGGCTCTTTTGGCTCTGGGTAATTTTGGGACTGTCTCATCACTTAGCTCTTCATAGATTAATAGTGCAACTATTTTTGTCTTCTTTAAGATGATCCACCGATATAAGATTAATTGTAACGTATGAAACTAGTGTTGATCAGTATTTTTGCCAAGGAGATATTAATTTAAAAAAAAATCTGATATTGAATTTTTTCCCATTTTCAAGTAATTTTTTTTTTTCATTTTACTTCATTATTCAATTATATTTTATAATGAAAAATATTGTCTTGAAACAAAGTTGAGTGAGACTTTGTGTTCTTCAAGCACTTTCAGAATTCTTTGGCTTTGTTGCAGTTTGGAATATTAGTATATTTTTCAATTCACACTTTTAAATATAATTGAAATTCCATTTTCCTCTCTGCACTGAGAATATTTTCGTCTACAAAAATACTTTGAATTCATTAGCTATTAATCAATACAACTATTAATATAAGAGGCACTTAAGTATGAATAGCCACATTCTAGAGCTGGAAAAGGAAAGAAAAAACATTAATGTCTTTGTTCAAGGCTATCGAAATAAATATGAGAATGTATGAAGTTTCTGATCTAAAGTGCTGCACTCAAAGAGACAGTACAGTATCTCATATTCAGATATGAACAGAATTCAACAAATGAAGGAATGAATAGCTGTAGAGAAATTTCTATTGTTACCCAAATGTAAGTAAAATTATATATGTTTCTCCTGGCTTTTCTCTATGGCAAGCTAATTATACAGTTAAATACAAATTGGTTTCTTGACTTGCCATAGAACTTCAAGAAACGAAAATATTCTACTGATTGATGAATCAACTTAATGTTAGGTTAGACTTTCTACTGGTAAGACAATACATCATGCTGTAGTATAGTTTGAGTAAGAAAATAAAATACTGGTCTATAATTTACACAGCCCTTAAAACATGTGATGTTAGTCTCTTTTGAATTTGAATGATCACAATAAATTTTGACAGTAATCCTTTACAGTAATTAGTGTTATTCTTCACTTAAGGAAACACCACCTACTTTGGGGGATAATGTTATCTTTGTGTTCAGACATCAGTCAGTAGATTTAATAAAAAACAGGCTTAAAGAAAATTCCACAATTTTTGCCAAGAACAATGCAATTTAAGACTTTGAATTCCAATGGCAAGTAGAAGCATATTTTTGCTGTGTCAGCTTGAGCAATTTTATACTGTGATTTTCAGCCATAATACCGTAAGATATAATTTGTATTGGAAAAAATTTGACTTATTACATGTGACATTGTTGTGAAATCTCATGGCAGGAGTGGAATCCAGTCATGTCAACACCATATAAATCTCTGAAACAGGGAGTTTGTAGTAGTAATGGCTCTCTCTATTTGAATGGAACACTTTGATCAATTGTTGGCTGATGCCAAATCGAGAACCATATATCACTCTTGTTAGCTGAGGTAGAAGAGAAATAAATGCATAGTAAAAGATCATCAGGAAAGATGTATTCAATATAGATGATCTAGTGTTCACTTAAGTGGATGAATAAGAGAGAAGCTAGCATGTAGGCAAAGAAGATATACAACTATGAAAGGATAAAATTTATGATGATAAAAAGCCCAGAAAAAAACACAATACAGAAGTAATAGAAGTAAATTAAGCTATTTAGTGCTAAGTGAACATGGTGTAGCTGGAAAGTAAACATTGAGTTGAGAGAGGAAAAAATGAATGTGTTGCTGGTCGGATCGTTGGCAACTCTGAGGCAGTACTTTTGCAGTACATTAATTGAAACCTTATTAGTGGAATAATCTCTCGTGCTAATAAAAAATAGCTATCTAGGAATTACTGAAGTAGCTAAACTGAAAAGCATGCAGCTTCCCTAGTCTTGTTTTACCATTTGCTTGCAATAAGGGGAAAGGGAATAAATTATCATATTTATAGTTTTATGGAATAAAGAGGGGCCTACAAAGAAATTTTTTGGGTTAGATGAATTTTGAAAACTGGAAAATACAATTTTGAAAGTATATTAAACTGTAAACAGCTGTATAATATGAAATCTGTTTGAAAGAGTGAAAAAATTCAC